CTCACAGACATTCTACAGTATTAAATGTTGCCACCAGAGAAATGCAGAAGATGAAGGCTTTTAAAGGTCATCTGGTTCAGCCCCAAGGCTTTGGAGCAAACTCTCCTACAAATGTCTTCCATGTCCTATGATGTCACTGCCTTGCTTTCAATCCCCTCCAATAGGGGCCCCAAGTATCAGTCCACATGGCAGCAGGAAGTCCTGGATGTGCAGGTTTGCTTTGGGTTTCAATAGACTATTGGAATGTCCCTGTAAATGAGGGTGACTGTCTCGGTGTCCCCGATGCAGTTCTAGTTTGCACTTAATGTCACAGCACTATTATTCCCAGCAGCCTTTCTCACCCTCAAAACTGTCTCCCTTGAGACAATTTATGTTATGGCCATGCTTCATGAGCACACAGACATTTATAACATGCACTCCAAGTTTCCGTTCAGAAGACATGGACACCACAGCCCCCATCTGTCCTTATTTCCGTTCTTACCTAACACATGCCCTTTGGTGTGCTCATGCGTGCCTGATGATTGCCTCCTCCCTTGTTCAGAGCTTGCTCCTGACTCTGAGTCTGCTCATGTTCCTCTCTCTTGCTAAAATGTTCTGCCCCACTCCACTTATGTAAATCTTACCCACCTTTCAAACTGTGCTGCAGCCCCACTGCTATGAAGCCGCCTCTGTCTACCTCAACCCACACTGATTTCTCCCTTCTCCTAACTTATACCCATGACATTTGCTTTGCTAAAATAAGGTAAGAAGTGAAAGGCATATCTTTGGTGATGGGTTCACTTCTCCTCCAAATGCCCTGCCTGCACACTGTTTAGAAGCCTGCAGGTAGTGCCTGGTAGTGGTAATTTGGTCCTTGTCTCAACAGGTTGGCTACCTTCAAAGGTACTTCATTAAAAGAAAGGAGAATATAATGCATAATCCATTTGCACATGCTTTCTTCCTATAAAACTATTGTTCAATTCTAAGAAAGCTGCAAAAAAACATTTAAACTGGAGGCTCTCCTGGAGATTAACTTGCCTAACCTGTGACCCAAAGCAGATGTGCACACACACACACCCGCCCCCACAGCATCCTTGAAAGATGGCCATCCAACTTGCTGCCAAACATATCTCTTACGTCCATCTCTCCACATACCTTGATCTCTTGCTGGACAGCTCTGGTTGTTAACGTTCTTCCTATTTATAATAGAGCATTTCTCAAACTTAAGTCTGTGGACCATCTGCACCATAGTTATTTGAGGTGCATGCTAAAATCACAGATTCCCAAGTCCAGCTCTGGCATATTGAATCAGCATTTGGAGCGAGGAGAGAAATAGTAATCTATATCGTTAACAGGTTTTCCAGGTGATGTTTATTATACATGTAAGATTCGATGCTAGAGTCAGTGGATTCTATACCTAGAACTTAGTTCTACGTTTCTAACTATGGCGAGCAAGACCCTTCCTTTTCTTCAAGGCAGTTCTTTAAACACTGGAAGATGTCTGTTCTCTCTACTTCCCCTCATAAATACTCTTTTTCAATCCAGGTTATTTCACTCTTCCTCCTACTACCCTGAATCAAGTTGAGCACACTTCTCCTAGCTCTCTCCTGTTTGCCAATGGCCCCAAATGTGATGCACAAATTAGAGAGAGAGACAGTTAGATTTGTAATGCTTTACTACATACTGACAATTGACCCTTGGGCAATATGGGGGTTAGGGGACACTGACCCCCTCTGCAGTTGAAAATTCACATATAAGTTTTGAAACCCAAAATTAATTACTATAGCCTACTCCTCAAAATTGACTAGAAGCCTTACTGATAACATAAATAGTTGATTAACACATATGTTGTATGCTATACTATGTACCATATGCTTATAATACAGTAAGCTATAGAAAAGAAATTTTTAAGAAAATCATAAAACAAAATGCATTTACAGTATTGTTTTTACCAGAAAAATTCCATAATTGGACCTGCATAATTCACACCCATGTTGTTTGAGGGTCAATCGTGCATCAATTTACACTCCTACCAGCTGACAATGAGAATACTATTTAGGCTTAAACTAACCAGCAGATGTTATCATTTTGTGAATCTTTGCTATTTTAATGGGCACACGATGTTGATTCCTCATAGTTGTTTTATTCTGGGGGCCTTTTAAAAATATTTTTCAGATGTATATTTGGCCATTGGTGGTTCTTTCATGAATGGTCTGCTTCTGCCTTTTCTGGGTTGGTTTGTTTTTCCCTTTGAATTCACTGTGTCAGTTGCTGTGGCCAGTAAATTCTTTCAGTGCATTATCTCATCTGATGCTCCCAACATCTCCCCCACTTCATGGGTGAAGACCCTGAGCCTTTGGGAGCCTATCATGAGCAACCATAGGTCTGCTTCCTCACTGATCCATTCCTTCTTTCATCAACCTTTCTTTTGGGGGGTGGGGGAGAGGAAGCTCTTCATCTTCCAGACACTTTGTAAAGTGAGTTAATAGAGCCAAGTATTGGGGATAAAATTAGCAAAAAGATTCAGAAGAGCACCAGGGATTTTCACAACTCTGTTGCCTCCTACTCATACATTTCCCTATTCTTTGTTGTTTTTCCCTGCCTAGAGGTAAAAGTGACCAAATTATAATCATGCAGTAGATAGCGATGCTATTTGCTGAAACAAGGTTTAACAAGAGTGTATGTATCTGTAGAGATATTTGCCAAGAGAGGTAATATGTGGCCGACAGTAAGAGGCTATCAGAAAAGGATCAAAGGGAGTAATTTGGAAATAATGCAGAACTCCGTAACAAATTATAGTCCATCAAATGACAACAGTATCAGCAGAAATACTTCAAAAGCATATATGCAAGTAAAACTGGCTTTCATTTTTTCCATTTTATATTACCTAATATTCCAAGACCAGTGTTTATGCAATTAACTAAGATCCTAATGTTAATTCATTATTTATAGCATTTTAGTCCAAACAGCCGAGCATTTCTTGGTCTTCAGTTAATTTAATCAAATTTCATGAGATTATATTTTAATTAAAAATACATATGCATAAAAGTTGAAATCCTGATATTTAAATAAATGAATTTACCAGATTAAGAGAAATGCAAACAGCTAAGTACAGATCTGAGTTGGAAGCATAATTTAAAATAATTTCATCCTACTCTCTTTTTCGAAGAAGGTAGCCAGCCCCCAAGAGACAGTTCTTAATATCAGTGAGTCGTAATAGTGAGATTAAAATTTAGACCTTGTACAGCTGGGTCTTTCACTGATATTTGCTCCTAACTTCACTCAAACACACTCTGGTTCTCTAAACTCTCATGAACTTTTCCAAACAAAACCTATAAACCAGTCGTCAAAACAGCTAATGCAATTTTTAAAGTTTTGTTCCATGAGCCTTGCAATTTTGGCAGCTGGACAAAAGTCCCTGCGGGTTATATTCTTCTGTAAGCTTTAGTGGAAACTCAATTTCTTCCTTATTAGTTATTAATAGAAAAATACTCACTTGTAATTCCAAAGTCCTGCATTTTACCCCAAACCTTTCTTTCACATAATAAACAAACATAATGAAAAAGAAAAAAAAAATGCATTGTGTCATTTATGATGCTCATTTCCCCAAGTAAGAAAGAACACTTCTTTCTTCTTTACTATTCTAGGTTTCCCATTACTCTTTTCAAACCACTAATTTTGAATTACACAAAAATTTTAAGTTCACTTTCTCAACAATAACATTTTAGTTCCTTACAACTTAATGCCTGGCAACCATGCTCTTTTCACAAAACCTAAAGACAATTTTGACATTTAAACTGGAGGTTCTAAATTAGGATACAAAGCAAATTTTAAAAAGCAAGGGAGAGGTGCCTGAGTGGCTCCATCGGTTAAGCGTCCAACTCTTGGTTTTGGCTCAAGTCATGATCTCATGGTTCATGGATTTGAGCCTGCTTGGGATTCTCTCCCTCTTCCTGCCTTCCCCCATGTACACACATGAACTCTCTCTCAAAATAAATGAAATAAACATTAAAATAAATAAATAAAAAGTAAGGGATATTCCAACATATTTAACTGTCTGGTTTCTAGAATTTTATCCTCCACAACTTGATCTGAATTACAGGCATACCTTAGAGATATTGTGCGTTTGGTTCCAGATCACTGTGATAAAGTGAGTCTCACAATAAAGCGAGTCAAATAAATTTTTTTGCTTTCCAGTGCATATTAAATCACTATTTACACTATACCGCAGTCTAGTAAGTGTGCAATACCATGTCTTTAAAAAAAGTGCATACCTCAATTAAAAACTACCTCATTGCTACAAATGCTAACCATTATCTCTGCTTTCAGCCAGTCATATTCACTGATCACAGATGACAATAACAAATATAACAATGAAGTAGTCAGAAATATTGTGAGAATCACCTCAAAGTAAGCAAATGCTGTTGGAAAAAAGGCGTCTGGGGAAGGGTTGCCATAGACCTTTAATTTGTAAAAACAAAACAAAACAAAACAAGAAAACACAGGGTCTGTGACGCCCCATAAAGCAAAGCATAAGAAAACAAAGTATGCCTGTATTTGCCAGCCAACCCCAGCACCAGACAGGCATTTCACCATCGCCATTCTCATGCACCAGCAATACCCTCCACCGTACACACCCCTCTACAAGAGAGTCAGTCCCTCCCACAGAGGCACTGCGTCCACACTCAGCCCTCTCTCCACACAGACACCCCATCCGGAAACAAACACTTATGCACATTTACCCTCTCCCTTACCTCCAACACACAAATAAAAACCAACCCTGGGAATCATCATAAAGTAGCACATTATACCAAAGTTCAACCTGCATAGCCAAGCCCTCAAGCCATTAAAACGACCCCTTGAAAGCCATTATGTTAACTGTCAACTGTCTCACAAGGGACAGGCTCTTTCAACCCTCTCCTTGGAAATTCAGGCACGGTGGCCTCCATGCTGTGTCAGATTCAACGTGGAGGCCTTCCCCAGGGAAGGTCAGAACCCAGAGATCCGAGGAGCACACTCACTGCAAATCTGACTTGGCAGTTCTCCTCTCCCAGGTAACACAGGTCTCCTGAGACGTTGGTCTCCAGCCACAGGTGCTCTCCATTCACGGCATTCTCCTGGAAGGGAAAGACCCACCTGACTTCAGTTTTCTTTTCAGGTACGAAAGGGGGAGATCTCAAATTTAGATTTTGGATGCAAAAAAATAAGTGAACCCACACAGTTTAAACACCTCTCATTTTTTCCCCTGAAAATACTGTTGGCACTGATCCTACCAAAATTCTAGAAACAGAATAAGCTGTTTGGAAAAACTTTCTCTGAGCCATAACTGAAACGAACATTAGGCCTATAAATGTTTTATCCAGGGATGTGGTAATCTGTGAAACATATATTACACAAATGAAGAAAAATTCCTCAAATTGTTCAATGTAAGGTCATATTTATCAAGACTGTGGACTCCGTGACAACTGAGACTGAAATCCTATTAAAAGCTGCCTTTACTTAGCAAATTAGCTATGAAGAAGGATAGTTGTATTAAAGTACTTTAAAGACTGAAGACGCATTTACATTTATATCAGTAATGGATAAACGATATATTCTATCAGTAATATATCTTAATTATCTTAATATCTTAAAACTTAGTTTAAGTCACTATGTACTCAAAGCATAATAAACTCTTACTAATTCACACTTTTCCTACTTCAATAGGGCCTTCGCCCATATAATTCTAGATTCCTCTAGCTGAGCGATTTCCCTGCTTCTAAATATAGTCACATACTTCTGCCTGCAAACAGAGGTGCTGTGCCAGGCTACACCAGTGTAACAATCTGATGTTCAGGAATGCACAATGTTCCATTGGTGTGGGTCGGGGGAGTGGAATATTTCTTCAACAGGATGATGACTAGGATTCCATATTCCTTCACCTGGCACACTACCTTAGAAACATGATAGATTTATGTATTAATTGTGTATTTTGTTCATTTGCTTGAAAAGGACACTGAGCTATTAAGGAAAGCACTGTACATGGTTACGCATAAAGAGATGAAGTCTACTGATCTTACAGGTAAATTGCTCTTGTTTTTATCTGGTTCATCAGTGGGGAGATGCTAAGGACTGAATTGTGATTCCTCTCACATTCATATGTTGAAGCCCTACTCTGTAGTGTGATGATATTTGAAGATGAGGCCTTTGGAAGGTAAATGGGTCATGAGGATAGAGCCCTTGTGACTGGGATTAGAGTGCCCTTATAAGAAGAGACATGAGAGGGATCTTTCTTTCTCTTCACACATAACACTGGGGAAAGGTCATGTGAAGACACAGCAAGAAGGCAGCCATCTACAAGCCAGGAAGTGGGCTCTTATCAGGCACTGAATCTACCAGGGCCTTGATCTTGGACTTCCCAGCCTCCAGAACTGTGAGAAATAAATTCCTGTTGTTTAAGCCACCCAGTCTATAGTGTTTTGTTAAATGACTTCACTAAGGAACTTTATAGAAAAACCAAGCAATTTAGAAGTACATCTTATATGTGAGTCATCTTTATAGTAACTGACTCCAGAAATGTCCAAGTGACTCCCTTCTGAATCCCAAAGCTGAACACGAAGTAGCATAAACATATACCAAGGAGAAACTGAAAAAAAAAAATAAATAAATAACAAAGGGTCATCTATTTCTTAAATATATGTCTTCAGATTCCAATTCAATACCTTTCCTTTAAGATCCAATAAGCTCAAATAATTTTCAGGCAAGAATAACCAAAGGTTATAGATGCTTCACAATCCAGGAAACATGACACCAACTCTCAGAACTCTCAGGGAAAGTGAGGAGCAGGAGAGATTTGCAAGTTCTACAATATTGAGGGATCACAGACAATGGAAAAGGAAACTCTCTAAGGGGTGGGGGGAGCAGGATTGCCCTGCACGTCACAGAGTGCCTCAAAACCAATGCTAATAAGAATCATCGCCCTCCATGTCAAAGGGTGACTGACCATCTTTTCACCAAAACTTTTTCTTCTCTACTGGTCATTTTTTTCCTGTAGAAAGTCATATTCATCTTTTTTTATGGAAGTCAATGGGAAAATCGGATTCCCCTCATAGTCAGTCTTGTAGAAAAACAAGAGAAGAAAGAAAAGAACAGCTACAGGTTTAGACCCTAAAAATTTTCAGATAGGAATGGATGAGGACAGTATATATACTTATCTTATACATACATATATACATGAATACATACATATATATGGCCCATCTTTGTTATTTATCCTAAAGAAATTGATCCCCACAATCTAAACTAGTCTACTACTGGAAACTTAATTTTACTTTATAGCCATTTATAGAATAAAATCCCTTTTCATTCTTTTCTTCTTTAATTCATTCAATAAACATTTATTCCATACCACTGGTGCCAGGCACTGGGTTAGTGTGGTAACCCATGGAGTAAAATCTACCAGAAAACATGAAAACTAAACACATAATTATAGCATGAAATGTTAGGGAAACCAAAAATGGTAAAATTCTGCCAAGAGTTTTAGAAAGTGACAAATAAAATGTTGCAGTGGGTCATATGGTCAAAAGTCATTGATAATGAATATGAAAAACTAGGCTGGCCAGAAGTTAACTTCTGGTAGGTCAAGTACGGCAGGTAGGAACAGTCAAGACCCAGGGACTCAGATTTGCAAGCACCCCACTAACTTATGGGGCTGGTAGGCTTCCCCTGGGCCAGGGGCTATGTGCCCCCTGCATACATACCACCAGCAGGCATGCAGAGCCTTGCTGAAAACCTTGACTCAGAGTCCGGAACAGCACGGCCGCTAGGATTAGCTCACCTCACTCTGGAGTGGTGATCTGATTAGAAAGACTGTCCTTTGTAAGGGAAGAGGGAACAAAGACAAGAGGCTTCCTGCCACAGTGGTTCTGACCTGCTGGTTCTCAAATTTGACTGCTCATTAAAATGACCTGGTGAGTTTTTAAGAATACCTGGGAACCAGCCCCAAAAGGTCTATTTTAACTAACATGAAGTGAAACCTGGACATCATGAGTTTTCAAAGTTCTAAAGTGACTCATGTGCATAGAGTCTGAGACCTCATAATCCAGTGGACCCTACCCTACCCTTCAAGTTGTTAAATAATAAATTCTAGAACATGTCTCGACTGATATATTAGACTTGATATACAGTCACCAGAGAAAAAAAGGTAAGAGAGGAAGAGAGATGAGGCATATGGTAGTCCAGAGAGATTTTAAGCAAAGAGACATGAAACTACAGATACATAATGAGAAGGCTCAAAGTCAACAGGATGGATAGATCCTGGGGATAAGGGAAAAGCCTTCAATGCACAAGCCTTTAAAGAAACAACAGAATAGGGGCGCCTGGGTGGCTTAGTCGGTTAAGCGTCCGACTTTTGCTTAGGTCATGATCTCACGGTTCGTGGGTTCGAGCCCCGCATCGGGCTCTGTGCTGACTGCCAGCCCAGAGCTTGGAGCCTGTTTCAGAGTCTGTGACTCCCTCTCTCTCTGACCCTGCCCTGCTCATGCTATCTCTCTCTCTCTCTTGTAGAAATAAATTTAAAAAAAAAATTTAAGGGGCGCCTGGGTGGCTTAGTCGGTTAAGCGTCCGACTTTCGCTTAGTGGTTCGTGGGTTCGAGCCCCGCATCGGGCTCTGTGCTGACTGCCAGCCCAGAGCTTGGAGCCTGTTTCAGAGTCTGTGACTCCCTCTCTCTCTGACTCTCCCCTGCTCACGCTGTCTCTCTCTCTCCTAGAAATAAAAACATTAAAAAATAAAAATAAAAAATTTAAAATTTAAAAAAAAAAAAAGATCATCAGCAACTTCACATGGCTAAATCCAATGGCCAATTCTCAGTCTTTATCTTAATCAGCAGCTTTTGACACAGATGATCATTCCCTTCCTTTAGGGACACTTGCATCCTAGAAACACTATACTCCTTTCATTTTTGTTGCACCTCAATGGCCACTCCATCACAGTCTTCATTCTTGGACCTTTCCTATATTCCTAAACTCTAAATATTAGAGCATCCCACAGCTCATTCTCAGATCTTTACTCTTCTCCATCACATCTAGTCCTTAGGATATTACATTTAGTTCTTATGGTTTGAGAGTCCATCTATTAATTGTTGCTCCCCAAATTATTCACACAGTACAAACCTCTTCTTTGAACTTCAGATCCATACAAAAAATAAAAATAAAAAACAACATCTGCTATCTCAATATCTCCACTTAAAACCAATAAGCATCTCAAAATTGTAGTCTCACAAAACTCAGTTTTTGATACACTCCTTAAATCTGCTTTTACTCTAATCTCTCTAAATTTTCAGCAAATGGTATTTCCATTCTTACAACTGCAAATATTTACCAAAAATGTTGGGGTCATTCTATATCTCTCTTTCTAACTCCTATACACCAGCTAATGTTACTGACTCCAGTTTCAAACGGGGTATGAAACTCAATTACTGGCCACTTCTGTTACCACTGGATCCTCCAAAATCTTTGGCTTGGAATGTCCCAATAGCCCATCGTCAAAGGCCATTCACTATCTATGATGTTTATTATATCCAAATTGTTTATTCCTCTCCATTCTGATTCTATGCAGTTCATTTTATTCACTTTCTAGTCATCAAATCAAGTGTTACTTCCTCCAAGAAGCCATCACTGACTCCAAAGTCTAAGTCATTTTGTTAGTTTCTCTCATAAAAGCATCTTCCCTTTCCATAATTTATCTCTGTTAGCAACTATCCACTCATTGGCATGATTATTTGATTAATGTTTCTTCATATACTAGATTCTAAGCTCCATGTGAACACTGACTGTCCAGTACTTGACTAAGTGCCTGGAAAATAGTAGATGACAAATAAATTTTGGGAATTGAAAAGATGAAAGATTAAGAATCAATGACTAAATGAATGAATGTACATATTTGTTATCTGCAACTCCAAAAGGTAGAAAGGGGTAATTATGTTTATCTGTCCATTAGTCTGGAATCATAAACTGTGAGAAGTAAACATGGGTGCTTAATAGAAACATGACAGTCTTGTAAAGTCACAAACAGAAGAAAAGCCTTTTTTTAAAAAAAGTCACGTGAGACAATGATGAAGCACACATTTTTCTACACTAC